AAAAACATCATCAGAAGGCATTGGAAGTGGTGTCAATCACAAGTTTTCAGCATGCTTAACATTTATTCAGCTTAGAGCAAAATTAGAGGCCATCGGCCAAAGGGAGACATCACCAGCCGAAACTAATGGGAATCGGCCAACATTTTAGCCGATCGACCAAAATGGATGGTCGGTCGACACTACTTTTGGTCGACCGGCCAAAAATGGTAAGGACCTCCAGAATGTTAACACATGTCTTCCACTCAACACCGTATCCTCTACAAAAGCCTCAGCTTCGTAGTTTTCCTCATTTCAACACTGATTTGCACCAAATGGAAGAGTTTCTTACGCAAAATCTCACAACTTGGATTACCAACTTGGACGGCTCGAAAAAGCTAAATTTTCGGGGCTTCGGCATAAATGCACTATTCACGCTGGGTCGCACTCCGCTACATCTTCCGTTCCTCCATGCAGCGGCAAAGTTTTGGAATCCTGTAACACGTGTCTTTAGCTTTGGTGGGCAAGAGGTGTGTCCTACCTTCGAAGATTTCCAAGCTTTGATGGAATCCGAGCGCAACGAAGAAATCTTGCCCCAATTTCGCTTCGGCCACGCCCAAGCCTTAGGGCAAATGTGTGGGCTCACTATGCACGATGCTCGATCTTTGATTTGTGACAGAATACTGGGTATTCCGAGTTTGATTTGTCGGTTTTTCGATGCCGGTGACCGCGGTGACCATCATTGGCAAGGCTTTCGGCGACATGCCCTTTGTTTGTGCATGCTATCTTATTTCTTGCTTGCCTCAGGCTCTGGAGGATCTAGTGTCCAGTTAATCGAGGTCGCCCAAGACTTAAGGGAGGGCAAAAGCTGCATTGCCATGTCATTGGCCGAGACATTGATGGGCTTGGATGCTTTTCATCGCCGAGAGATGACCAAATTTGCGGGGAGTCCACTACTGCTGCAGGTAAGGTTTCCCACCCTATCTCACATATATATTGCTCACATCACTCGGCCCTCAAGCTCGGTTTTTCTTACAAAGCCCTTTTCTCACTTTTCTCTCATCGTACATCTCTCTATTCTTTAATCTCTCATTGTATGCATTGATTATTTGTGTTTAATTTTTTTTTTTTTTTTTTGGTGTAGATGTTAGATTGAAAATGAAGAACACATCAAAATTTATTGGATATGGGTTATACTTTAAATGTATTCATCAGTTGATTTTTTATTGTTGATTATCCTGTTGAAGTAATTCATGATTAAATTTATTTTTAGTAACTTATTTCCTTCGAGAACTAAACCACAAATTTCTTCTTTTTAAAATTTTATTTATTTATTTATTTGAATTCAGAGTTTGAGCAAATGGACAATATCTCATATTTAAAATGTTAATTTTTTTTTGAATAATTTAAATATTTATATTATTTAAGTTTGTCAATTCAAGTTTAACACATTTTCAAACCTTTTTATTTTTTATTTTTTTATAATCATTCCAAACCTATTTGTGTTTAATGAATCAATATAACAAAAAAACAAATAGCATGTAAAAAAAATTTAACCACTAATTGAATATAATGGGAATTAAAATTAATTTTATTTTAATTTATTGTATTATATGAGATGATTAATGTAATATCTACTATTCATTAAGCAAAATTAGTGTTACTTTTATTTAATATATTAGTCATTTTGGTTAATTATAATATACCTTTGTTAATCTACTTTTAGTCGTTCGAAGTAATTCTTAGATAAATTAGCTATTATATATGTTATGATTTACTAATGTATGATAGTTTTTTAAAAATTTTAATAATGTGAAATATTAAATATTTTTAATGATGTGAAGTAAGATTTATATACACAAACCAAATAAAAATATTAAGAAATATAAATAAATAGTAAATTTTTTTTTTCGTAATTATTAACTTTCTAAAATCTTGTGCATCGCACGACAGACCACTAGTTACTCCATATGGCAACGTGTCCAACATGATTTTCACAATCCATTGGAGTAGGCCTTGTATCAATTGGTGTAGGACTCACCCCAATAGATAGCGTAGATCATCTTTGGAGCATTATCAGACATGGTAAAAGTAACTTTATGCACACCAAATATAAATAGAGTATAGGACGTACTACATTTAGGATCCACCTTATATTAAAGGGTTAGGTTTCTTTCTGTATTTAATTTTTGTAATGGTCCTCAATAATTTTTGCAAAAGAAAGTTTGCATTCACCTACCTCATTATTTAGGGAAAAAAGAAATAAAATAAAAAGAATAATAGAGTGGTGATATCCATATTCCATTATCTCGTACCTTATTTTTGATTGGGTAAATACACTCCATTAGGAACTTCCAAAAAAAAAATTTGGGTGAATTATAAACACACTTTTGAGCTTTGTTAAAATATGAATTATATGTTGTGATTATAAAAATTACATCCCGTCCTTCAAATTCTAATTTTATAACAAATGATTCATTTTACTAGTAAATTATCAAGTTAATTAACAGTTTTTAATGATGTTAGAAATTTATCTCAATTAATAATTCAAGTGATTTTATTATTGTATAAGAGAACAATTATAATTTTATTTTTTTAATTAATTCTGTTAAATAAAAAATTCTAACAAAGGGATATTTATAATTTTCTAAATTACAAGTGGCAATTTGTATTTTAAACAAACTTCAGAAAGTGTATTTGTAACTCATTAAAAAGTTTGTAATTTTAATTATTAATATTTATAAAATTTCTGACTGATTGGTAATTATTTTTGCAAAAGTCCACTAATGTGATATTTTAATTCATATAACATAATTGTTATATGAATTAAAATTTCAAGGAAAATCAATGTAATTATGTTAAACATGTATGGCTAATTCTATTTCTTCTAAATCTCAATAAAAGTGAAGGTAATTTAACACCCCCCCCCCCCCCCCCCACCATGGCAAGAAGACTTTTGACATAAAGGAAGTGCAACAGGTAAAAAAAGAGTGAATATCATTACTAAAAATAATAATAATAATAATAGTAAATTACACTTACTTTTCTTCAAGTTTGAAAAAAATACAATTGATTTTATAATTTTAACATAACCATATTAATCGTTTTTTTATAAGGTTAAAACTATTAAAGCTTATTGGCGTATAGAAACTAAAATAAATAAAGATAAATACAGTTTCGTAAAAAGATATGACAATATTATCTTTATCCATATGTCATCTTTGCAATGTTAATTATCTCTTAATTAGGCTGTTACATATAAACACGAATGATATGTTGGACAATCTTTATTATATTTAAAATAATTAATTTTGTTTGGGTACTAAACGACAAACATAATATAAAAGAAATAAAGGAAAGGAGAGAAAAATTATTGATTACAAAAATCAAACTAGAAAAAGAATTAAATAAATAAAAACAGATTTTATTTTGTTACAAAAACAAAATTAAAATATGATTTAAATAAATAATAAAAACAGAAAATAAATAAATAACTTACTTGAATATTATTCTGATCAAGTCCAGTGTTTGACAGTATGTCCTTAAGACAGATTCGCCCTCTCCACGGTGCTTTCAGAATATGGACGTCTATCTCCCAGAATGAAATGATCAACTACAAACAATAGCAGTACTACAAATTGTTTGGCTAACGAACACACTAAGTGCTTATACTCTTTCTCACAAAAAATAAAAATACAGCAAAATGAAAAATAAATTTGCAGAGGTGAAGTGCGAAATTTCTGAATGTAAAACATCAAATGAGGGCTGTCCTATTTATAAATGTATTGGTGGCTGCAGGTTTTGAATTAAATAAGTGCAAACCTATTTGAACAGGTATGAAACCTGTTTGGTTTTGAATTTAAACAGATTTGAATCTGTTGGGTTCAAAATTCAAATAAATAAAAACGGGAAAGGACCTGTTTGGGTGTACAGAAAAAATCGGACCAGTTTATTTCCGGAATTAATTTGAATTCTAGATTTTATTTTTCAAAAAATAAAATAAAATTCATATATTTTTTACCCAAAAAGATTAGTATTGGGTCGAATAAGCCCAACCTCACACCACTCATAGCCCGCCCGACTGGACGGATGGCGGCGTGCGGTGATTCTTGGGTTTACCCCATTTTGGCCATAACCTCTCCCTTCTACAAACTTGGGGCCTCCCTTGGGGCCATCCCCAAGTTATAAGTCCAAGCTATATAAACCCATTCAAAACTTCCCACCAAATCAATGTGGGACAAGCCATTTACACAAGCCTGAAGGAATTTCCTCCAAAACTCCATTTCCATGTAGTACACTTTGATTTCAATTTCTTATTCACTCGATAATGATTTCAAGCAACTAAATATACCACGTGAATCACAACGCAGTACAAAACGCGTTACCACTTTGACTCGCGAATATCGACGCACGAGTCCTGCCTAATTATTAGACCAAAGTTAGGAAAAAAAATCTATTTTTTACCTAAATTTTTCCAAACCATTTCCAACATGATATGGTACATGTCGGACAAGGGATGCATGTTGTTCATATATATAAGGCACAGTACAGTGTTGTGTAGCCTTATGGAGATATGTCATGACACTACAAGAATTCACACAATTGCTGATCACTTTTGCCGACTAAAAAAAATTTGGTCGTAAAAAAATTGACATTTGCCGATCAAATATTAATTAGTCGCGAATGATCATTATTTTTGGCGACCACATATTATTGGTCGCAGAAGGTTATATTTTGGCGACCAAAAAAAGAGTTTGTCGCAAAAAGTGGTATGCTTTTGACTACCAACTACAAATTTAGTCGTGGAATGTGACGTTTTTTTTGGCGACCAAAAATTTAATTGCCAAAAACTTATTTTCAGCAACTAAAAAAAATTAGTCGCCAAATTAACACTTTTAATGACTAATAATTTAGTCACCGTTGATTGAGATTCGGCAACTAAAAAAAATTATCGGCGAAGGATACCTTTTCTGCAACTAATTTGATAGTTTGATCGCCAAAAATTTGTAAAGGAAATTTGAAACTTGAGACGGGAATTGAAATTTTTTATCTTTACCAATTTGTTAGCTCAAACATTTTCATTTTCTCCTCTCTCATCTGTTTCTCTCAAACAAAACAAACAAATATATCCAAATATGCCCACAATGTATCTCTGTTTCTCTCACTCTCTCCATCTGTTTCTGTTTCTCTCTATTATTCACACAAGCACAAACCCTAGACCACCATTCAAAACCACCACCACCACCAAAAATGTCTCACGCCGTGGTGGCGTCGCCCTATTTCCCCACCGTGAGGTCGGCGGCGAACTGACCAAGGCAGAGGTCGGCGAACTGAGGTCGGCGGCGAACTGACCAAACCAGGTAGCAGTGCGTGGAGCCGCCTACACTCTACCATTGCTAATCCTCTCGATTTCAGACCTCTTGCATCAGGTAAACACGCTCTCTCTTTCTCTCTCTCTCTCTCTCTCTCTCGCTCTCGTTCCCCCAATTTCAAACCCTAACTATAAATTTCAACTTCTCAGATCTTTGCCTCTCAAGAGTTTCTTCACCTTGAATTTGCTAAACCTGTAGTTTTTGCCTCCTGTAATTAATTTGATTGACATGGATTGAAGAAAACCCCTTTTTCTTATACAATTGAAATATGAAAGCCCCAAAAAATATATTTATAAATAAATAAATATATCAGATTACACAACCCTAGCTCTTTGGCTTCCAAGGGTTTTATCAAAATGCACAGAAGTTCTAATGGAGCAAATATGAAGGAGCTCAGTCTCAATCTCTCTCAATCGTCTCATCAAAGAAGGCTATTTACTTGGTACGTTGCTTCCTCCTCTCCTTCCTCTGAATAGTCTCATCGAAGTCTCAATCTTTCTAATTTTTTTTTTCTAAAAACTAAAAGAGTAGAACATTTGAGTGTTCAATTTGTTTTCTTTCGCCCCTAGTTTTTTCTAAGCTAATTAAAACAGTTTTTATAGAACTTCATACCGTTGTAAGAGAAAAATGCCCCCCAAAAATGGTTACAAATTGAAAAAGTGTGAAAGACTATACTTTAATGCAATCGTAAGCAATATTCATGTAAACTAGCGATTTCGAACTAGTCTAAACATGTTATAATGCATGAACAAAAACATGAGAAGAACTAAAGCAATAAACATGAATTAAATAAGAAAAACTAGAAGCCTAGAAACTAAACATGGCAAAAAGAATGCGAAACAAAGAAAGCAAATCAAGTATACATTAAATACATTAACTGGGACCTTTTTCTTTTGTAAATTCCTCGTACTCTGGCCCTTTGGTGTTTAACAGAATGATCTGCTGGTCATTTGGGGCTTGTTTGGTGCTGGCCGTTAGTTTTTTCCCAGGTTGATTCTAGATCGTTTTCAAATCAAATTTTGGACTTTTTAGGACTTGAAATCAACTTTGAAAATGTTCAAAACACATGGATATAATTATAAGTTCAAAAAGAGTTTATGTTGGGCAAAAATCATTTTGAGGCATGAAAGAGGTTCGGATTTTAGCAAAATGTGAAAAAATTAA